ATATTTATACATTTTTTTCGTCTTTTTTCATTTATAGTTCTTCATTCACCCTGGTAGCATTGTTAATTTTTGTACCATGTTCGAATATTCAATAAAGGTTTGTTTAAAAACAAACAAACAAAAAAATAAAAAAAAAAACAACGGTTGCTGCTTTGGCAGCAATGAATTGTGGGTAATACACTTCACCAAAGTCCGTAAAAACAGAGACTTCGCAGAAGGGTGGAAATAGTACCCAAAATGGGCGGGGCGAAGGACGGATGTGCAGAATGTGGGACACACTATGCACTCAAACCCTTCAACATGAACCAACATTTGAAGTGCACGACGGTGGGAGTGTGGGTATTGGGCCAGAGTACTAAGCTCAGTGAATCCATGCTGCATGAGGGGGCACTGTTTCCACACACAGTGGAGCTTCATTGTGTTAACAAGAAGCAGCTTTCCCCTCCAGTATTAAAGGAAAATGATGAAGAAACTGTGAAGAAATTTAAAATTAGGAAGATTAGTACTGATGCTAAAAGCACAACACTATATTCTTTAGTTCTCCTTGTTGTAATGTTGACAGTGTTTAATCTATTATGTTTTGATTGAAATAGGTATAGTTACATGTCCGAAACATCTGTTACAACACATAATTAAACGTTGGGATGACATTAGCTGAGAATTTTGTCTGAATGCCTGTGATTCAGCCGTAGGTCAGCAGGGGGCGAGCGAAGGCATTGAAGAACCTGTATAAATAGATGGATTTCCTGGTTTTTCAGCCAGTATGGGTTTCCTGTCTGCAGGCGCAATAATAAACCCCACTCGATTACAGAATTCTGGTGTTGTGTGGTTTTCATTCCTCCTACAAATCATTTTATTTAACATTTGTGTTTATTATATCGACTTCAATTTATTGAATACGAATTTTCTTACAAAACTTTCATGAATTACCGGTATGTGGTTACAAGACGTAATGGATATAGTCAGCTCTCTATGTTTACTTTAGATGAACTTGACCATCATATTTGAAACGTTATTTGCAATTAGCGCTATTCAATTCTAAATTTAGAAAGCGCAAATCATCATTTGAAGAAATTAGTAAAACCCCTAAAGCGCACAGGAGTAATTTAGGTTCACAATTAGCGATTTTGTGCTTTAGGGGACTAGTGCCCACCACTGATTATATTACATTGAGCTCAGAACTGATCTGAACAATGCCAGTGATGTTTTCATGAGAAGTGAATCAGTGTTGAGCCTTTACCTGGTGAACAAACACGTTGTTCAGGTGATTGGTGAGGCGGCGGGCGAACGTATCCCTCAGCTCACAAAACAGGAGCTGCTGCTGAATCACAGCTTTCAGCTTGTCGTGGCCTACAGGAAGAAAACAGCCGTTTTATCTGACTCACTGCTCAGAACGACTACATGCAGTTAGTAATGGTTATGTTGAAAACGTAAACTGACCTGGGCGCAGAGCCACGTTCATACACTGCAGCAGAGCCTCCGAGGCGTTGATGCAGGCCTCGATTCCTTTAGGAGAGGTCAGGTCTCCCTCCTGCAGGGCCCTGATGTGTCCTTTTGACAAGTCCATGTAGTTCTACAAGACACAAGACACAGCAGCCTTAACTAACAGAGCACACAAATTAGTGGCTAAAAGCTAAATGTAGCCAAACTGTAGGTAAAAGGTACAATTAGCAAGACAGTCAAAGCTAAAAGGAGCATAAGATGACTAAAGAGCAACTATGCTGAATCAGATTTTAAAACACATCGTTTTAAAATTAAAACTTAATGTTTTTAAGAGTAAATTAATTAATCTTGCAAAGTACAAAATGTACAAATACTAAAAGTCATAACACACTACTCCAAATGGAGCTGAACGTTTAGTAAAGTGAATGATTAAAACAACAAACTATGCAGAACACAGAAGAAACTAAACAAATGTTAGGTTAAAGTCTGTGACATGCATATCCTTTAATACAAAGTCAAAGAAAACAACTTTAGATTTAAGAAACTTTGTATAATACATGACTTTACTTATTTTGTCACATAACTAATATGTTTTTTGTTGAAGTGGTCTCAAAATGGAACTATTTAAGAAAAGAAACTCTGGTTTCAGCTCAACAATCCTACCACGTTCAAAGTCAGTCAGCTTTTTTGCTTTTGCCATCAGGAGGTCTTGACAGTGTAAAGACTTGAC